CGCGAACCAGCACCGTCCGCACACCCTGGCCCCGTGACGGGGGCTGTTCCAGAGGCGCCGCCGGTCAGCTGTCCCCTCTCCGGAGCCCCTTCACTCGGACGCCCTGTCCCTCGTGGAGCAGGACACAGCGAACAGGCCCCGAAGCCGAGCGCGGCCCACACGGCTGCGTCCGCTGCATTCAGTGCAGCTCGAGGTGGCGCTGTGCTGTCCAGCGTGGCGGCCGGGGGCCAGAGGTGGCCCCAAGCGCTTAGTCGCAGTAGCCTCGTTCAGGGGCCCGTGGCCACACGTGGCTGACGCTGCTGCGTGGGAGCTCGCAGGGGCCCATGTGCTGCAGAAACTCCGGGGACAGCGCCCCCCACTGGCTGCACCCTCAGCTCCCCCTGCACGTGCTCTGCCACCAGACGCCACGCCCCAGGCTGTGTCGCCAAAGCACCGCGGGAGGATTCCCGGGCGTCGGCGTGTGGGGCCCATGCCGTGCGGAGCGCAGACCCCTGGACCGTCCCCCTGGGGTGTGGGCCCTGTACTGGGGGCTCAGGCCGCCCCTGTTGGTCTCCCGAGTCAGCTCAGGGCGTCCCCCGCACGAGGGCGAGGAGGGGACGTCTCGGGCTGTTTGCTGTCTGCGCACAGGTACACGTGTGCACATACGCACATACACGTATACACATATACATGCACCATGCACACATGCACACATGCACACATGCACGTGTACATATACACGTGTGCACACAGGTACACACAATCTGTGGGGCCGTGCACACGTGACGCATGCTGTACAGTCTGCGTGTGTGCTCGCACAGGCCACGTGTGGAACAGGCATGCAGCAGGTATGGCGTGTCTGCGGTATCTGGCATGGTGTGCAGGCTGCATCGTCGTGTGACATACTTACACGTGGTTTTGATGGCGTGTGACTTTCCCTCACATGAAGCTTGTCACCGTGGGAGATGTGCCAGTGTGCTGGAGTCTCTCAGGCCTTAAGGAAACGCCACCCTCTCGCCGACCGCCAGGCCTGGTTCTCATGTTTGCCCTCAAGCCCAGCTCCTTCCAGCCTGCTGACTTCAGGGCGAGCTCTGTCCCTGTGCCCACAATCGGCCACCAAGAGCAAGGGCTCCCGTGGTTGGAGTGACGACGGTCCATAGTGCCGAGCCGGGTGCAGGCAGACGTCGTCCCCTGCGGCCGTTTTAAACTCGCTGGTGCTGCGTCTCCCGGCGAGGCCTGTGGCCGTCCCCAGCACGGTTCCAAGCTCTCCCGGGGCCCTGCCATCGCACCCGGGCCTGGCTTTATCCCAGAGCTTACCAAAGTCAGAGGGGCTGCCGCGCAGGTGGACGCTGCGCGTTCTGCACCTGCCATCCCTAATGCCTAGCAGGTAGTGGACGCTCAGTGGGGGAGCCACACGATGGAAGGTGTCGGAGGAGACCAGCCGACGGGGAGCTGGGCTCAGGCCACGCCTCGCGCCGGCACTGGCAGGCGGGGTCACGGGCCAGCAGCCCATGGCGGATTCACAGGACGCTCTTAAGGTTGGGTTGGTCCCTCTGTGTTGGCTCCATCATAGACAGAAATTTGTGAGGTGACAAAGGTGGCCGCTGACACTCCAGGCTAGCAGCTGTGGAAAAGGGCATGTTCCCTATTTGTGTCCTCAGAGGCTCTGATGGTGTCAGGAAAACGGGGAATAAAAACATAGCGGCAGCGTCCGCAGTCGGCACCGGGGGGCGCTGAGCCGTGGGAGGCGGCAGGACGCGCTTTGGGATTTTTGTTCCTCTCGTGGTTTTGAGCGGGGTGAGGAGAAACGACAACAGGCCACGTTCTTCTCCCTGGGCCTAAGGGGACGTTCCCGGTGGCCGTCTGCAGTGTGGCCTCTTCAGAGCAGAGTGACGGACAACTGCCAGAACAAACTAGAGTCTCAGGGGAGGCGGGACGGCACACGCATGCACACAGACACACACACAGACTCGCACATGCACACATGCACACAAATGCACACGCACACGCATGCACACAGACACACGCACACACACACATACATGCACATGCATGCACATAAACACGCACAGACACGCACACGCACACAAACACACATGCGCACACACGCAATGCACACAAATGCGCACACACACATGCGCACAAACACATGCACACGCACAGACGCACACATGCACACATGCACACAAATGCACACGCACACACATGCACACACGCACACATACATGCACACATACGTGCACATAAACGCAGACACGCACACGCACACAAACACATACACACACATGCACGCACACGCAATGCACACAAATGCACACACACGCATGCACACAAACACATGCACACGCACAGACGCACACATGCACACAAATGCACACGCACACGCATGCACACACGCACACACACAGACACGCACATGCACACATGCACATAAATGCGCATGCACACACGCATGCACACAAACACATGCACACATGCACACGCACACACGCATGCACACACGCACACGCAGACACGCACATGCGCACATGCACACAAATGCGCATGCACACACGCATGCACACAAACACATGCACACAAACGCGCACACACACATGCACACAAATGCACACACACGCATGCACATAAACGCGCACACGCACAGACACACATGCACACAAACCTGCACGCACACACGCATGCACACACACAGACACACATGCACACACATGCACACAAATGTGCACACGCATGGACAACATGCACATAAACACGCACAAGCACAGACACACACATGCACACAAATGTGCACACGCATGGACACAAATGCGTGCACACACGTGCACCCACGAGTCCCTTTGCTTTTTAAATAAATATGTTTAAAATGTGTCAACGATGATGAATGGAGATCTGTGTCATAAAACACATTCCAAAAGCTTCTGAAAACACAGCATCACGATTTAACTCATTTATGTCTTCGGCAATTATTGCCGAAGCCTAACGAGCTATTTTTGGATGAGGTATTGAACATGCAAATTCAGACCCTCCTCCTTCCGAGGGTTGCAATTATTCTCATCAGTTCAGTAAACATATTAACAAACATCGCATTTGAACACAAACGCGTCTGCTCGTGAACTCGAAGCCGCATCTGAAACCACAAATTGCTTCTGTGATTACATTCCCGGTCCCGCCAGGCCTCAGATGACGCGTCGCCTGTGGGCGTCCGAGGAGCGCGGAGTCGGGACCGTGACCTCGCCCTGTGCGTCTTCGGGGCCTTTGGCTTCGTTTCACGTTGCGATCGAAGCTGACATCTTCGTTTTGCTCCCCGACGGCCACCGTGGGCCTGCGGGACGGTCACTCACATCCGGGGGTTTCTCTCGAGTCATCTGAAGCCGCTCGGCGTATTCTCCGTGTCGTCAGTCGCCGTGGCAGAGGGTGACGTTTTCTCACCGCCGCCTTCAGGACTCTGAGGGCAGAATTAAAGTCAGAAGGAAGTGACCCAAAGCGCCACTCGAACGTGGACTCGCCCCCGCAAGAGTGTAGTTTTACCAGCAAAACTCAGCGGAGCCCAGTGGGGTCTGCCGCAGGCGGGAAAGAGGATGCCGCTGCTTCTGTCTCTGACTCTGTTCTATTCAAGTTCAAGAGCAAAGGCTCAGGCGTCGTGTGTTTGCTCTTAATGTCATTGTCGTCTCCCTGAGGGGCGTCGCCTTAGACCTGGGAGATTTGTATGTGAAGAAGAACATTCAAGAAAGTCTTGATGTTAAAAACGAGCAAGAGATAAAACTACTTCTTCAAGCAGTAGGGATCAAACGTGAATGTATCCATTTCTTAGTCTGTCATAAACATTTCATCGTGCGCCATTTCACACACAGAAGACGACAAGGCGCACGATCCAGCACGACGACGAACGCCCCTGTAGCCACTGCTCAGTTCAAGAATTGAAACTGAAAAAGTTCAAGGTCCCAGTGTTTGACCTTCTAAACACGCCCACTTTCTCCCCGTGTGGCTTTAAAATAACCTTGAGGTTCATCACTTCCACGCGTTAAAGAACGTGTCTGGAACGGTCCTGATGTGGCGTTACGTGTTTCGAAAGGTTGTCTGACTGGTATCAAACTACGTTTTTTAACTTGCATTCTTGTTAACCGTAGCCTTTGAGGCCTTTTCACAGTTCTGATGGTTCACACACGTTCACAGCTGGGTAACACCCGTTTGACTGTCCGCCGGTCACTGTCCGCGCTTCATCCGTCTACGTTTTCGCGGTGTTAGGTACTAGAGCTGCAGGTCCAGATGCCTCGTGATGGGATTACGGAACTCCCGGCTGGATTTACGGGGGGGACGGCTTCAGTTCCAGCCACTAATACGTGGGGGCCAGCTGCAGACTCCCTCCGCTGTCCTGCCGAAACCTTCGTCTGCAAAATGGGCATCATGTCACCCATTTTCTCAAAATTATTAGAGACCAATGAAGCTGATTGCTGTAAAACTTATAGAACAGGTGGCAGTGGGAATGTGTTATGAAAATTAAGTCTTCCGGGAGGCGGCCGGCTCAGTTTACGCAGGGGCGTGTTCTTGAGATCGTGGGACCTGGGCGAGTTTTTAAAGGCGAATCTGCCTGGATGTGGGTCAGCTGTGCTTACTGCTTAAAAACGTACGCTTTTCCTGTTGAAAATCTCTTGTTGGAAAACCAAGATGTGTCCTCCCGTGCCCTCTTTCTTTGGGCTTCTCGTCAGTAAGCACGACTCCGGGGTTGCGCCTTCCTGTTCCCGACCCCCAGGTGGCTTTCGGGCCTGTCCCCCAGCGTGCCGTTTCGTAAGCCGCGGGGAGGTGGCCCAGGTGAGTGGCGCGTGCCTCGGGGACAGGTGTTCTCCCAGGCAGACGGAGGTGGCACGCTGAGCACTTACCCGGTGATTGTGCTGCACGTGCCCCGTCCGTCTGGACAAGTCAGAGACGCGTCCCACTGCACCCTCGCCGGCCGCGTGCGCCCGGCTTGCAGCGTGCGAGCTGATTCCCAGACCTTCCACCCGTCCGTGCCTCTGGGGACCGCGCCCAAGTTCCCCCCGTGATGCTCACCTCTTTGGAAAATCTTGGAAACCCGTCATCCCCGAGACGCCGCTCTGTGGCGCTTTCTGCCGCGCTCCCCCCTTGTTTCTGGCAGATAACTGGGGTGCACTTGCTCTCCAGCCTCGTAACGGTGGAGGGACGTACCCATCACCTCCGTGCACGGGGAGGCGGCGTCGAAAGTGGACCCCGTGGTGGAGACTGTTACAAACAAACCCTGCTGTTTCCACAGGTGGCAGCTGAACGGCAGCGACGTGGACCTGGACGCCGGGGGCCGCTACGCGCTGCGCGGAGGGTCCCTGGTGGTCAGCGACCCCCGCCGGAGCCAGGACGCGGGGACCTACCGCTGTTTCGCCACCAACCCGCTGGGCACCATCGTCAGCCGAGAAGCCAGGCTGCAGTTCGCGTGTAGGTGTGGCCGGCCGCGCGTGGTGGGGGCTGTGGGGCGGCGTCCGGGCTCTCGCGACCTCGGCGGGCCGACGTGGTCTTCGTGACCTCTGTGTGCGGGGTGCGGGGTGTGCGTGCCGTGTGTGCCGTGATGCTGTTTTGTGAGGCTGTTGGGGGATGGGGGGACCCGGTCAGGGATGTGTGCACTGAGCAGCCCCCTGTGCTGTGCCGGAGCTGGGGGGGCCGTGACAGCGGGTCGGAGACGGCGCCTGCAGGGGACGGCGTCTGGATTGGGGGGTCGCAGCTGCCGAGTCGGAACAGGCACAGTGAGGGGGGGACGGGGTGCACCCTGTGGGGCCACCCACCAAGCGTGGCTCTGGGGGCCACATGGCACCACGTGACTCGGACCCAGGCACACGGCCCAACCGTGCTCCTGGCCCCCTCAGCGGGACGCGCAGCGGCGGCACCCGAGACCCCGGCGGCCTTGGGGTCCC